AAATCTGTGAATACAGTTCCAGGACATCAAGAGAATAGAGAAGATAGAGTAGTTTTATGTATTGTTGCTTTATCTTTTGCTTTAATAATTGTTGCTTCAAATAACAGGCTCCCTGAATATTAGTAGCAGAAATAATAGCTTTTATTTCAATATCAGAAGTCTAGAGATAGGAGGTTGCTCATTTGGTTAAGCAACTCAACAATATTAAAATGGGTGCCTGTTTTTTATTTTTATCTTTCTGGACTACTATTTTTCACTGTCTTGTTAATCTCCCTTCTCCTGGTGCAAAATGGTGGCTGCAGCACCAGGTATCACATCCCCACCAAAAAATATCCACCAAAAGAAAGGAAGTGGGAGAGCAAGAGGGATCTTTGCTTGATTGACCCCAAAACTCTTGTCCAAATAGGAGAAAAAGCATAAAGAATATTTTGGACTCAGATCAAGTTTCCTTTTTTAATTACCCCGGAAGCGGCTAATAAGCAGTGTAAAGTGTAAGCAGTGTTTATATGCGGCTAAGATTTGGGTGGGCAGAGACAGTTTCCCATTACCTCATTTACCTCTCATAGATGGGGTCCTGCAGTCCAGAGGTCTTAGTAGAACACAGAGAGTGACAGATGAATGCGGAACAATATTTTGGGTCTGCTGTATTATATAAGTCCAGCCACTTCTGCACAGACAACTCAAAATGCTCTTTAAACAATAAGTCTGCTACTCAGTCTGCCATAGCATTTAGCTCTAATGACTAAATTTGGAGCCTTGAGAGTCTTGCAGGACCTGCACTGGGACACTTTCCCCCTTCTCTGTAGAGGCAAGAAGTTTACCCTCTATGTCTAGAAGTTCACTCTTTATGTTTGAAAGCTGAACAAGCAGATAAGTTGCGGGGAAAGGGAGTGAAGATTTTGGACGCAAGGAACAATTCCTGCCAAGATGTGAACAGGATGATCTGTTCAGGGCACTGTCAGTTACTTGGAGCAACTGGGCTACAGGGCCTGAGCAGGGATTGGGAGAAGATGCACCTGAGAAGGGAGCCAAGAGCCCATGGTGTGACTCATGTACGTGTGCAGATTCTGTGGCGGTAAACACAATGTACCTTGAGAACCCAGAAGGGGTTGGCTGGAGGAAGAAGTTCTTCCAGAAGTCTTGGATCCAGGTTCAGCAGACCCAAAGTTCAACCAGGACCCAGTGATCCAGTTGTACAAGGTACCCACGCCAGTCCACTTAAATATTTCGCATGCCCGCGAGGGCTAGGTGAGGGATTCCCAGGCAGAGAAGGGAAGATGGGTTTTCTAGGTGGAGCTTATAAAAGATATCAGAGAAGGGAGAGACAGCAATACAAGGGGAGGATGGGGCCAGGGTGTGGAGGAGCCACACTGTGAAAGCCTGTGGCTGGCAGAGATGTTTGCCCTTAACTCTGTAGGACTTGGATAGGGCCTTCCTGGTGGCGCAGGTGGTTGAGCACCACGCTGTGAAGCTGTCCGCAGCCTCTGCAGCGCCGGTTTGATCCCAGCCAGCTGGCAAGTGTCCCACATGGTGCAGCAGACCTCTCCTGTCACTCCCGCTGCTCCCCTCAGCAGTGTATTTCGTCAGTCTGCCTGTTCCGTTCCCCGCTCTGTCTCTGGTGAATCCTCTCACCCTCCTGTGCATCTGGCCTGTACCCCAGTTCTTGTATAAATAAATAAAAATAAATCTTTTAAAAAAGCATAGTAAAGGATAGAACCCCATTCCACCAACCCAATAATTCACCTGCAAAAAACAAGCCCTGTCATGTTTTCTTTCTTTCTTTTTTTTTTTTTAAAGGGAAAGGCGAAAAGTAACGGCAGGGAGGGAAGGATGGAAAAAGGGAAAAATAGGAAGAAATGAAAGGAAAAAGGAAAGCAGAGATCAATGTGGCAAACTGACAATATTTGGCAAGGCTTGGTGGCTACAGAGACTATTATTTGTCACTATTTATTAATTCGTTATTGATTTTTATATGCTTCCCCACTCAAGCTATTTCATTTAAAAAAAATGAACATGATCAGGTAGAAATTTGTAGATATAATCTTTCAGTAAAGCTACTTATTTATATCAAAAGACCTAAAAATTGCTCATTTTTACCTAATAATTCCATGATAAAACTTGCAGTGAAGATTATATATGCAAGAAGTCAATTTTTTATTGCTAATAATAATTCATTTATATCACTGTTTGGGCTAAATTAACTTCCCAAATAAGCAAAATGGACCATTTTAATGGACGTTTTCCCCAAATACATTATGCCTATCCTGGTATAATAAATATTCTGAGACTCAGCCATCCCTTGATAATTTTATTAATATAATTAACAAAGTACATGTTACTAGATTGATCCCAGAGGCTGTTGAGGTGTTGAGGGGCTAGCCCCAACACATTGTTTTTTAGGCTAACTTGTTTCACTACTCTTCTTCTTTTTCTCTTACAGCTGACTGTCCCTTCTCATTACTTTCACCTGAATGCTCATTAGAAATCATCCATCTAATCAGAATAAAACCAGACCAAATCAAACCAGACAACCCAGTTTGTACACATAACTAAGGTTACCATTTGAACAAAGTCCTGGAGGTACCGCCAGCGTCTGCTCTTTCCTGAGTGCACATCAATCCCTCTTGAGAACGACATGTCTTATATCTGGGCACTGTTAGCACACATCTCTGGACACTTACCTTACACTTATAAAGTAATTCTTATAGGGCCTCCCCGGTGGCGCAGCGGTTGAGCGCTGGGTTGCGAAGCTGCCCACAGACTCTGCAGCGCCGGTTTGATCCCCGGCTGCTCCCCGGCCACCGGGGGAGGGTCCCGCCCGCTGCTCCCCTCAGCAGTGTACTTAGGTCCTTCTGCCTGCTCTGCTCCCTGCTCTGGCTCTGGTGAATTCTCTCACCCTCCCGCGCTTCTGACTGTACCCAGTGCTTGTATAAATAAATAAATCTTAAAAAAAAAAAAAAAATTAAAAAAAAAAAATTATTGCTAAAAAAAGAAATAAGGACCATTATTATAAAAAAAAATAAAGTAATTCTTATAAATGTTAAAAAAAAGTTAAAATTCAAGAATCACTGGGTTATGTGAAAAAATATCGATAAAATCGAGATCACACAGGCAGCTGGTGGTTTCTGCACAGAATCACCACCCAAGGCTAGAATTGTGAGGGTCGACCACAAAGTTCTTGTACTGCCAGGTACCAACTATTCCAAGTATCACATAGGCTTATGATTTCTACTTTTTGAACCTGAATCACTTAGGTGGGTGGAAGTTAGAGATTCCCTTCCTGAATGTCCCTGACATTAGGTAGCTGACATAACTGGTGGATGGCCCTTGAATAGTAAGGTTCACCAGTTCTTATCACCCAAGGAAAACACAGAGTAATGGTTACTCATATTTTCCAAAGGTGAAATTGTTTGCACAGACTAATGGACTTTTACAGACAAAATGAAATAATGTTAAACATTACCAGATATGAGTTAAATTGGTCTTACACTCTTATGATGTTTCCCATTTGGGTTGGATATTTAGTAGTTTACATTATCTTCAAATAAATCTTAATATATTTACTATATCCATTTTTAAACTATTTTATTAAAACAACCACTTTATTCACCATTCTATATCTTTATAGAAAAGTTTTCAAGCAGTGTACATGTCTACTGCTTCTTCAAAAAGGGGAGTTGCAGATCTTTACCTTGCATTTTAAGTTAACAAGTCTCCACATGTCTTAGATATGCTGATGGTCAATCAACAAAACCTGAGATTGAAAAGCATGCACTGAAAAGAAAATAAAACATGAGTAACATATGTAGATGAGTATTCATGCCAGTCAGAACCTCAACAGCAACAACAACAACAAAAAACACTCCAGAGTGAAAATACTGGTATATTTGTATAATGCAAAGAGAAATACAGATATAAATCCTCAAAACGGAAGGTACAATAAAAATGTTGCATTGTAAGCAAAAAATATTATACAGTACTTGCAGAATTTAGTCTTTCAATTTGATTATAATTTGTCTACAAAGAAATAGTATTTAAAATTACAGTTCTCATCATTAATTTAAAATAACCATCAATGGAACAGCACAGCTTAACCTAGCAAACATTTTAAGGAAATGCTTTGTCTTCTAGAAGAGTATCATTATATTCCATTCATTTATATCATGAACAAAAGAACAATTTTCAAAGTCAAAATTAGTTTCATAAGACAGAATAAAACTGAGATTCTCAAAGCACAAGCTGTTTCCACAAAATCATTTCAATTTTTATTGGCAAAAAGTACCCAAACAATTGTGATTTATTTAATTCTTTGCTTCTCAGAGTCCTTCCAATCCGTGAACCACCCACAATTAGCACATAACAAAATCATGCAATACTGTATTTTCTCCACACCATTACTAACCAAACACTTTTTACTCGTTTAAAAGTCACAATTTTACAGAAATGTTTCCAGTCAAGATTGGTATAATACAGAGAGCAGTTGTCGCTGAGGTGTATTTTCTGCTAGCAGAAAGTTAGGTAGGAAACACATCTTGTCACCGCTCACAAAACGACTGCCTTGCCATGCCCTCCGCGTCTGCTCTTCCCATTCAACGTCCACACCGGACAGCGTCCCACACTTTCAAAGCGCAACTGAGCCCAAGGCCGGCCATGCCGAGGGAACTGATTCCCCACCCTTGTCCTCTCCTGCTTCCGATGCAAGACCCTCAAAGAAGTGGACCTGTGAACTTCCCTAGGTTCCTCTTCTTCACCACCAAATGGAATGCCATTTGAAATTGTCAAAAATAGCTTCTGTAGAAAACTGGCCATGGTCTTTAGGAAACACTGCATGAAGAAAATTAGTGTACCCTTTAGTTAAAAAAGAAAAAAAGCAGTAACACATGGAAGGAAAGACCTCAGTACCAACACAAAGACTCCAGAGTCCATTGTCGGAATGAAAATAGACAAATACAGGAAACTGGGCTAGGACTGAAACATAGAAACCCACCCCGCACCCCCACGCCCCGCCCCACCCCGCGAAAAGGAGTCTGTACAATCCAATTGCTCGTCCACTCTGAAAGTCGTTTTGAAGGCAGCTTAGAAAATTAAAAAGGGGGCAGGAGGGGGAATGACGTCACTGTCCAAGCCAAAAGGAGAGGCTGGGTGGGGGGTGGACGTGGCAGGAGAGCCCTTTATAAACCAATGCCTTTCAAGTCGCAGGGCAGGGTGGCCTGGGTGGTCCGGGGGCTCTGGCAGCAGGGGAACTGGGCCCTGAAGCAGTCCCTCAGCTCTCTGTTGAAGAGGAAGCACACGAGGGGGTTGATGCCGGCCTGCGCGAAGGTCAGCCACACCGAGGCCGTCAGGTAGGCCTGGGGGACCGCGCCGGGCCGCACCAACACCCGCAGGTAACTGGCCACGACGTAGGGCCCCCAGAGGAGCAGGAAGAGCAGCGTGACGGCGTAGAACATCTTGCACAGCCTCTTCTCGGTCTTGAACTCTTCCAGCACGAGCAGGCGGCGCGCGCCGCGGCCGGGCCCCACGGGCCGGATGCCCACCAGCGCGGGCGGCGTGGGCCCGCGACCAAAGCCGGCCGTCCAGTTGGCGGCCGCCTGGCCGGTGGCGCCGGGGCCGTGGAAGGTCCAGTCGTGGCTGACGGCCGGCACCAGGCGGGCGGGCCGCATCTTGCGGCGGTCGTGGATGAAGAAGAGCAGGCGGAGGTAGACGAGGTGCGTGGCGCCCACGACCACGGCCAGCAGCAGCAGGAAGCCGAGCGCGCCGGGGGTGCCGTCGGGCCGCTGCTCCAGGGCGCACGGCCCTTCCTCCTCGTCGCCGCCGCCGTCCAGCACGGGCGGGAAGGCCGCGGCCAGCGCCAGCGCCCAGGCGGCGCACACCAGCATGGCGGCGCACGGCCAGCCGGCCAGGCGCTCGGCGTAGAAGCGGTGGTGCGCGATGGCCAGGTAGCGGGTGACGCCCACGCCGAGCAGCAGGAAGGCGGCGTGGAAGCAGAAGAGCGCGGCCAGAAAGGCGAGCAGCTTGCAGCCCAGCGCGCCCGGCGGCGCCCCGCGGCCGCGGCAGCACGGCGCGCCGCCAGCATGACGGCCGGGAGGCAGGCGAGCGCGCGCAGCCCGTCGGCCAGGCACAGGTCGAGCAGCAGGTAGTACGGGGCGCGGTGGAGGCTGCGCTCCCGCACGATGAGCAGCGCGAACAGCACGTTGCCCGCCAGGCTCACGCACAGCAGCAGGCTGAGCGTGGCCAGCTTGAGGCCCAGGGCGGCAGCCTCGCCGCCGCCGCCCGGCTCGCTCGCGTTCGCCATCGCGGCCTGCGCCGTGCGCTCCGCTCCAGGCCCCCCCGCCCCCGCCCGGCCCCGCCGCCCCGCCGGCCGCCCGGCCCGTGCTCAGCCGCCGCGCGGACCCTGGGCGAGCTCCCGGGCCGGCCGGGCTCAGCCCGCCCCCGCCTGGCCCCTCCTCGGCTCCCCGAGCCGCCGCCGCGCCGCCATCTCAGGAATGGTGCGCGCAGGAGGCGACGGCCACTCCCTGCGCCTGGGGCGCCGCGGGCTTCACTGCGGACCGGGCCGCGGCGCCGCCCGCAACCCCCGCATCCTCCTCCTTCTCCTTCTCCTCCTCCTCCGCTGCCGCCGCCTCGCCGCGCGGCTCTGCCCCCGCCGGGCCCGCCGCCGCCGCCGCCGAGCCCCTCCCCTCCGCCGGAGCGCGCAGCGTGGCCGTCGCCGCCAGCCCCGCCGAGGCATCCCGCGCCCCCCGGGCCCGGCCCGGCTGGGGGCGCCGCCGCGGCAGCCGTGGGGCCGGGAGGCGGCCGGGAGGGAGGCTGGGCCCAGGACACCAGGTGGCGACAAGGCGCGTCTGGCCCCAGGTAAAGGGGGTACGGCCGCGGCGGTCAGCGCCCGCGCTGGGGTCACAGCGGCCGTGCGCGGGGGCCGCGGGGAGAGGCTGCCTGGCGGGGCAGTGTCGGGAGGCCGCAGGGGGCACAGGAGCAGCGGGGCGCGGGAATAGCCTCCTGCCCGCGAGCTGGTAGCAATTAACCGCGACCCTCGTCACGATAACCATGTAACCGTCAATGCGCAGGTGAGCACTGACGTGGGTGGCAGCCCTCCGGGGAGCTTGGCAGCAGGATCGCCTCGCCGTTTCCGTAACTACAAAGTTACTTCTTAGCCCACTCTCTACCTGAGGAAGCAGAGACGTGCAGGTCGAGGGAGCTGAGAGCCAGTCCGTGGGGCAACTGGGATCTGACTCTCGGGGCGTGATTTCCAGGGCTGGACTCAACTGCGACTCTGCCGTGTGCCCTGCTCGCCGCTTCACCGTGTCCCAGGGAAGGGGAAAGAGTCACATCTTCTCTTAAGTGACTTGGAAGGTGAACCCCATGACCCCTACCTCCCAGGACATCTATTTTCTGGGGATGGCTGCTAGAGCCGTCCCTGTTCTGATCCTCAAACACTCTGAACTAAGGACTTGGCTCGCGCTGTTCCTGCTGCCTGGTCCAGCACCTCAGGCGTCCTACCTTTAGGTCACCCCTTCCAACCACCTGTCTTGTTCTCTATCACTGCCCGTTCTTTTCCTCCTTAGCATTTCTAACTTATCTTTACATATTTTTCTTTCTTTTAAAAATCATGGCTTTCCAACTAATCTCTCAAGCTCCATGAAGGCCAGGAACCACGTCTGCTTTTGGTACTACTGTCCCCACTACCTTGCAGGGAAAGGCCAGAGTTAAGGAATGTATTGTTTCTAGGCTACACTCATTTTTTCTTTAATTGAGAACATTATTGCCCACTTACTGTGTGCATGGCAGACACTTTTGTGGTAATTTCCAAGACAGCTAACGGTTAGGTGTTGGCCGTCAGCAGCCCTTGGAGATTTTTGAGGAGATTGAGGAGAGCTATGCTTCAGGAAGATTATTTTGCCAGTAGTGTTTAAGGGGAATGCTGGAACAGAGCCTGGAAGTCTATTCGAGCGCCTCAGCTTTTAGTGTGTACAGTGGGGATCCAGTTAAAATGCAAAGTCTGATTCATAGGTCTGAGATGGAACCAAAGATACAGAATTTCTTACAGGTTCTTAAGTGATGCTAACACTGCCGATCCATAGACTGTCATTTAAATAGCAAAGAGAGTTGGACATTTTGCAAAAAAAAAAAAAAAAAGAGAGCCAATGAGGGCCTGACATAGAACCCCTAAGTGGCCAAAGGCAAGTACTTGTCCAAATAGATCTGCAGATACCTTGTTGACAGAAAAGAGAAAGAGATTTTGGAGGGCATTTTGGTTTGCAATTACATTTTGATACTAGTAGCTTAAAAATGTAAATGAGTTTATTTTTCTCATTTCTGAAACAAGCCTGGCAATCAGTATTTGCCAAGTCCTAAGTCTCTGAAAGTCATTTACTCTTACCTTCCTTATCACGGTAGGCTGCTGATCACCCAGCCATTTGTTTCTGTATTCTAGACGAAAAGAAGGAAAAGAGAGAAATAACAAAGTGTTCCTGTCATCTAAGTTGGCCCCCTCTGATGAGCTTTCTAGAAGTCCTACCCTATAACAGGCATGACATTGGCCACCACTATCAGGAAGGAGGCTGCAGAAAATGGTTTTGTATTTTTTTCTAAGGCCACACAGAGCCACAGAGAATGAGATCTGGCTGTGATGTGGACCTTAGCTCTTGGGCTGCATCTGCCTTGAAGCACAAAGACAGCAACTGCGGTTCCTCCAGGATGATAGTAATGGTAACCTCCATTTATTGAGCACTTGCTATGTGCCAGCACTGTGCTGAAAACTTGACACGTGTTATTTCATTCGGTCATGGTAAGGACCATGTGTAGTAGTAGTATTAAAATCTTCATTTGGTAGATGAGGCCAACAGGTTAAGGAATTTATTCACATTTTCACCACAAGTAAATATGACAGTGGGAATTACAAGGTAGAGAGTCTGACTCTAGAACCCACACTGGTAAATACCATGCAGATTGCCTCCTCATCATAACTGCAAAGAAAGCCATTGAATTTCTAAAAACAAACAAAAACTACTGATGCTATGTTCCCAGAGTTTCAACCCCTTTCAGAGAGGGAAGTCTTTTTAAAAAACAACCTAGTCAAACAGTTTTATAAATAGACATACTCATTAATGACTTGGTGGGAAGTAGATTCCAGGTCTTCTCTTTCCTAGATCTGGACCCTTCCCATTTATTTGAGATCTTATTGGCCAAATCACTTAACCTCTTGGAATCTCAAATGTTCCCATTTAAAATATGGGACAATGGACCAAGTAATTTCTGAGTGTCCTTGGACCTGAAGTTCACTTTATATATGAGAAAATGGGTTATAGAATCCCCAAATGGGGTGAGATTTATTCTTCAAAAAAGACACAAAAGACGAGGCATTAATTAGTCTTTCATACTTTAGATTTCTCTTTAACTTCTCTTTATGGCTCAGTATGCGTCTCTTTAGCATTTGAGATTTGGTTTAGTCATTTGCTTAGAATCAAATAGCAGAAGCAGCAATAGAAAGTATATAAATCATGGCTCTCACAGCATTTATATGCCTGCTTCTTTCATTCGCAACATTTGTTTAGTAGATTAATACTTTAGGAAAAACTATTAACATTTCATTGCCAGAATCAACTTATTTTCCATTTACTGTTTCTAGGACGCTTCAGACAAGAATTTAAAATAGTTTCTTAGACACTGAATTGAGTGTCTCCATCTCAAAGCAAAAACAGTTCCATGAGTGGTTTTTCTTCCCCCATAAGAACAATTTCCATTTTGCTTATAACCAGAATTTTCGTTTTGCACATAGCTATAAAAGTTGGATTTTTCCCCTCAAATCAACTGTATCATTTCTTTGTTGCTCATATGGAAGGTATGAATGGTAGTGGAAGTCCAGACTGTTGGGAAGAACTAGAACACCTTAACAGAAATAATTACCCTGGGTACTGTAATCTTGGGAGACAGTTTGACCAGTCTCCCCTGTCCAGCCCTCAGGCTCCTGCTCAGTCATCTTCCAGTGGGTACATTTCTATTCCATTAAATGAGATCCATTCATCTAGAGTGTAGCATAGGCATGTGCTCAGCTGGTACATGATACATGGTAACCACAGCTAGTCATGGTTGCTATTACCTCACTATAAATACCTTGTCTTACTATGCTTGATTGACTTTTTATCCTCACCCCAACTTACCCTGGAAGGATGCTCTACACATAGTGGGTTTTCAATATTTGTGTGGCAAGTGTAAATGCCAGTCCATAAAATCAAAAGGGTGCCTATAACTGCTTTCTAGAGAAGTATAACTGCTTTCTAGAAATCCAGTTTCTTACTCCTAGTTGCAGTGTGCCTTGCTTGTAAGAAAAAGTTATGTAATCTTGGTGCTTCTTTCATAAAGTCTCTTGCTTCTTCAGAATGTGCCATCATTCCAGGGCAGTACCCAAATTGCATCATACATTATCACTCAGGATAGTAGGGGGAGGCGATGCTGGAGGCTAGTATCCTATCAGCTGTTTAATCAGTTGTCATACTATTACCGCTACCATAAAAGCAGTTATAGTTTGGTGACTCTTATCCTCCTTATGCCAGACTTGGTGTCTGAGAATCTGGCCTGAGGCTGTGTCTATTAAATGGTTCCATGCTCATAACCCTCAGCAGTAAATCTGGCAAACTGACTATAGATCCCTTCTCTCTCAGTATCCTCTTCTCCTTCTACCTTCATCTCTGGGTACTTCTGATCTATTCTGGCAGAGGGAGAACACCAGTTCTTCCTTGTTCTTCTGGACAATATAATCAGTCAATTTCCTTGGGAATCTCTGACCTCAGAATTTAGGTGTTTGGGTAATGAAATCCAGGAAGCTACCTTGCCATAAAATTCTTCTATGCCAGGGAGCCTGGAGCCTGCTATCTGCTTGAATTTGAGGAATAAAATGGAAAAATAGAGAATGAAAATTATCATAGCTCAAATATTCTTGCTGCATAATATATTTGTTGAATAAATGACTGAATGTATTTATGTATATCTGCATGGCATATTGTCACACTTTGATAGAAGCAAAACATGTTTAGCAAAAACTCTACAATTTTCTCCACATGCAAAAGAAGGAAGTTGGACTTCTACCTCACACCATATACAAAAAAAATCAAAATAGATTGTAGGTCTAAAAGTAAGAGATAAAACTAATGCTCTTAGAAGAAAATATAGGAGTAAACTTTGCGAGTTTAGACTAGGCAATGGTTTCTCAGCTGTAACAGCAAAAGAACAGGCAACAAGAAAAAAAATAGATTGAATTTCCTTAAAGTTTTAAAAGTTTATGCTTCAAAGAACACCGTCAAA